TTTATTATTTTTGAATTTTTTATTTTATTTTATAAATTTCTATGCAAAATCAGAATTCTACATTTAATTTTTAAGAGAATTTTAAGTTATATTGTATCTTCAAAGATTTTAAATCTTTAAAAAAAATGAAATCACACTTCATAACCATTCTTTTATTCTTCTGCTATTTTATATTTTCTGACATCTTCTCTCTCGGGTTAGAATCTGTTAACAAATCTTTGCAGCGTACTGTTTTGTTAATCCATAATCATTTGCTGCGTTGCTCAAGAATTTGTTCTTTAATGCCATTGATATCCAGGAGTGTTTTCTGGGTTTTTTTCTTTCTTTTTATTTGTTCTATAATGTCTCTGCTGACTGTTGCTGATCTCCCAAAATTTTAGGCATACTAATATTCTATACCGTGCCATACTTCCTTTGTTATGTTTGATTCTGAATTAATATCAGTTTATTGAACCACAGATTCATTTTCGTCAAGAGCATTTCTTATGTGAGGACAAGGACTGTCTCTCCAAATTGTTTGTTGTGTACGTTTTCAACTAATTCTGAATTGAAGGTCATATCTTAGCACATTTGTATATAATCAATTTTTTTTATCATGCATATATTCCCAGTTCAGTTTTGACATCTCATCCGCACTTGATCTTTTTTTCATCACATTCAGAGAGGCATATAGCCATAGAACATGGAGGACGGAAGTCCCGTTCTAAGCGTAATGCCACACTGCAGGTATTTTTGATGTTTTTGATTTCTTATCAATGTTGATGGAGTCCCTTTTAACTCTTAGACCTTTCATTCTATTTCTTTTTTACTTTTTCTTTTTTAGCTTCTACCTCATTTCAGACATTTAGTTTCTATGTTTTACTGCCTTCCGGTATTTTATTGCATTGAGGTTATAAATTGCTTTTTCCTCTTTCATCAATCTATCCTGCAGATACCAGTAAGCTTCCAGTACCGACGGGGTTATGATGAGCAGAATCATGAGGGTGGGGGACACGGTTCTCTTCTTGATTCACCAAGCAGTCTAATTTCGTCAGTAACTCAGATTAGTGTAGCAATAGGTCATACAGAGAGGTTGCACAACACTTCAACCAGTACCCAAGTAGTTACCAGTGATTCAGAAACTCGTAATGTTCATTCAATTTTTGGTCCCTTTTCGTCATTAGCAACCATAGATTCTGAGCCATCTTAAGGAGATTGTAAATAACACGACTGTTACTGATGCATTGATGATGAAAGATTCAACACAAACTAAAAACTAGTAGTAGTCTTACAGAAAAAGGGTTGATTCAATAGAGAGAGCTAAAGTTGCAAATTCATGGTTGCCTTTGCTGACAAAAGAGAAGGTAGAAAAGGAAGTGGCCGGAACCAATATGATAACCCACTTATTTGAAGAGTCTTGAATCTGTTTTCCACAGGATCATAAGAAACCAGAGATCTGTCTTCACTCTGCAACAGGATCCCACCATTCTTCAGTGCACATATAACTGTGTAAAATCTTGGGGGTCCACCAAGAAAATAGGGATCAAAGGAGAATTGTTTTACCCAAGATTCCTTAACACGGTGTTGCTTCATCACCCAGATATCAAAATGCAAATCATCAACCAACGTAGCTGCCGATAGACACCCATTGAG